TTATGTTTAAAGTCATTTTTAAGGATCAGCTTGAGAGTGAGTTAAACGTATATGTGGTAGATTTCCTGTTCACGTCTTTCTTTAATGCTCCGAAATTACTTTAATATGTTTTTGGGAGTGGAAACTTTTGGAGTGGACTACGTGTGCACAGACTGGTGAATGTAAAGATTATTTACACAAATAAACTTTATTATTTTAAGTGGTCTACTTTAGAAAGTTCAATCAAAGACAGATGTTAAAAATAATAAAAGCCTGTTGGCAAAGACATGTGTGTGTGTCCATATTAAAACTGGTAGGGCTGATTTTATGGCTTCCACCATTTCACACATGTGATACAGTTTAAAGTCCTCCGTGTTGGGCTCGAGGATATCAAGTATTCTCCCCGTTCTTTAGTCGCACTTATTGTTAGAAAAGCAGGAAGACCGTGTGTGGTAATCTCTTTAAGAGCCTAAAGATCCTCTTTTACTAGACTTAAGAGTGTGTTTAGGAGTAGATCCATTCATAACCAGCAATAAAACCTACTACTAATAAACTACTTGTTGCATTAACTCTGACATGCAGATTTTAAACTGCATTTCCAGATGTGAACACAAATGTGCAGGTTGAACACTAACACGGGTATTTGTTACATAAATTCTGTGGCACCTTTTGGTCCTGCGATGCCAGTAATTTGCCTTTGATAGTTAAAGAAACTACTTATCTAAAGCCGGTATGTTGTAAGATATGAATTGAAACCGATGCAATAACTTCTTGGCTGTGTCCGAAATCCCTCCCTGTTTACTTCACGGTGCACTATTCTATATTTACCCTCCACCGTGTTATTTTAATTGTGAAACGTATCCACATTATAGCGCTCTGCAGTGGTGGAAGAAGCATTTAAAAGTACCAATATCACCCTGGGAAAATTCTCTGTTCGTAAAAGTCCTGTATTCTAAATTGTACATGTAAATATTTGCAATAAGAAGTGTATCAAACGTAAAAGTGCTCATTAAACAAGACAATGGGCCTTGTCATTAAAATGCTACTTTAACATATACTATATTATCCTACCATTGTTACTATAACACCCTTATATTATCAATGTTGTAGCCAGTTGAGGAGGAGCTCATTTTAATTACCACAATTTATATACGTTACTATTTGGTAGTTCATTCAACCTTTAACAATATATTGTTTTAAAAACTAACTTTAGGTTTTCTGCAGAAAACCTTTATCTGAAAAATAAGTAAAGCTGTCAGATAAATGGAGTGACAAGTACAATATTTCCCTGCAAAATATAAAAGAGTGGAAGTACAACGTAGCTTTAAAGGGAAATACTCACGTAAAGTCCATCAAATTTGTACTTTGGTGCAGCACTCGAGTAAATGTATTAAGTTACAGATGCAAACAATACTGTTGAGTACAGCTGTCAGTGACTCTACAATATGATTACCAAGTGTCGTAAATCTCCCTTTACTGATTGCTGTAGAGTAAACTATCGCGTGTGTATTCGGGAGTATTCAATGAGGCATATCAGTGTATCTTTTTATAACTACCACTAGGAGTCACCAAAGTTTCAAATCCAACCACGAGTAGCCTTAAATAAGAAGGTACATTTGCTGTTTTTGTTAATTTGGAAGTTTAAGCCTGTTGTACTCCTTGAAATGAGTTTAATTGATTCTTGTATGTCTGACCTGATGTTGTTTTCTCTTATAATAAGATAATTACTTGATTTGTTTGTTGGCCTGGCCTATCTTTACTCTTTTCAAGTGCCACAATGAAAAAAGGTCTCGGAATGAACCATATCTGCTTTCACGTTTGTAGATGATGATATTTTACTCTGCCCTCTCATAAAAAATATAATAAAGTTAACTAAGCCACACCCTTACGGTGCACTGGACTCTTTCAATTAATCTATTTCTTACTCTTGGCTTGCCAGGGCTGCATGTGTGCATGAGGTGTAATAGCTGTGAGATACTTCTACACTTATTTTCCAGCCCTTAATAGGTTTATGAGTCCAATTTTACGGTTTCATGACTGAGGGCCGGTGATTCACGCTGACACGGCAGGTTGTCGGCTTCCCTCTCCTCCTGCTCGACAGAGGAAAAAAAAACTGGTAACACTTCACTAAGTGCAGCGTAAGTCACCGTAAGTGCTTTACAAATGTGCTTAATGCCTCCACAATGCTTTCATTGTGATCATATCAGGAAATTATCCTCATTAGCTCTTGACATCATGGACCAACTATGTGCTGTTAGACTATTATGAGCCTGAAATATATCTCCTTGGTATTTACTGGTATCTACCCACAATCAAACTGTGAACTTTATTACTGCTGCAGGTTTCACACAAACATCTGGATGCGTCACCATGAAGACCAAGATGTTGGTGTTTTCTGTGCAAAAAGCTAGAGTGATGGAGAGATATTCGCGTTCTCAAAACTATTATCATCAGAAGAGGAATCTAAACACACTTCACCAGACCGTGTCAAAACACGGAAACACTGCACTTCAGGCAGAGAGCATCAACCCCCTCAGACCTCATATTAATATCCATCACAAAGACATTTTGCACTTTATTATATCCGTCTCCATGTAGAAATAACCCTAACTATTTGTTTCATGTCCGCTACAATAGACATTTCAATACATTTTAACCTTTAGTAAACCGAAAAACACATCGGTGTTTACCTAGCTAGCTTAGCAGTAACTGTTACTTCCGAGGCCGAGCATTAGTTCGTGGCTACAGGTTTTTTGAAAAAAGCACCACATACATGACCCCACTGTGTGCACACATGTCTTGGTTGCTACTATATCAGAGTTTAGGGTTAACAATGGGAGCTCTGTCCTGCTCTTTATTGAATTTGGGAAAGTTTACCAATCGCATGAATTAGCCCTTATCCTAATAAGCTTTCTTTTTCTCACGTTAAAAATTAAAACACGTATGTTAGAGCGTAAAATACCTGAATGATTTTACACTTTTGCTCATCATACTTAAAACACTTTAGGACCAAATGTTACTTTATTTCCGTAGTTCATCAGATGAGGATGCTAACGTTTTCCCTGGGACCTGTTAGCTTTAGCCTCCGTCTTTTAGCACAATATTTATGTATGCAGCCATTAAATGTATACTACACTATACTGTGTGTAATTTATTTATCTTTGTACAAGATTCTTGTTTTAAAACAGATTCTTGTGAACAATCGACTCAGAGTCAACGTTAGCACGATTAGCTAGCTAGCTAGAGTTGATAAAAACCTGCTAGCAACAGTTGTCATTTACGCTAAAATCTGCGGATGTCAACTGGAAATGCTTCTTTTGTCTGTTTTAAAATTACTGCAACTTCTTAGTAGAACATCTGTGGTTATCCATCCATGTGTTATAGGCCTAAGCAGCAGTAAACATAGATTCTTGTTATTTCAAAATTGCAAAAGTATTGTAGCTGAGTCCTTTTAGCATTTTTGTTCTGATTTTTAATTGAATTTATCTTTATTTCTGTCTTTAAGTTAAAAACCTAAGTTCTTAAACTGCCACAAAATAATGAGTAAATGTCAAAAACAAACGACAGCAATGACTGAAAAGGTGTAGGCTGAAACCATAGGTCATGTTATAGGTTATGCATGAACAAGCTACATTTTTGTTTCGTTTAACAGCCAGTTTAGAGAATAATCTGAAAAATGCTTCATTGCCAAAGAATCCTCTGCATGTTTTGCAGAGTTGCAAATTGATTTCCTGTGACAGTGAGCGTCTTTGTTGCAGAATAAAAAAGAGAGGGTGACAGACAGACGGACGGACGGACGGCTGGGCACACTGGCTGTCTGTTGGGGCTTGTTTGTGTCTGTTGCCAGAGCAACTGTCGGGGGGGTGGGATGGCAGAGGCTTCTGGTGGTGGGTAGCGGCTGCTTCGTGATTCACGGACAGCTAGGGCGGCCGTGCAGAGCAAAAGTTTGGCAACTGAACCCAAAAGAAGCAAAGAGGAAGCATCTGGTGGATCTGGAAAAAATCTCAGGCCGACCTCAGCAGCCCCGTCTACCCACAATGCACCAGCAAATGTCTGCATTTGGTAAAAAACATTTGAAGGTATTTTGATCTGCATCAACAAAATCAAACATTACTGCTATTGAGATTTAAAGTGTATTCCCTGACCTTCGGAAATAGTAGGCAAAATAATCCCACAGATGGAGTTTGACCAGTTGAGGTTTACACATTTTCATTTTTGCCCAGCACTGTTTTCAACCTCCGTACTCAACATGGTTATAATATCAGGGCCTGTATGTGTTAATGTGTGGAACTTTAATTGAATTTTGTTTTTGTCATTCAGTATCATTCTACTTGAGCTATTGCTCTGTATTTGTTGTATTGATGTGGCTTGTATTGATTTTGGTTTAGTTTACACTGACGTACTTTTGGTTTTAAGATTCTGTTGTCGCGTGTTAGAAATAAGTGTTCTCACTTTGTCATGTTATGTGGATTGTAGATTGGTGTGATTTCGTAGATTCCTAAATAAATTCAATTAAAAAGAAATCGAAAATGGGTGTCCTGCTTGTGCCATAACCCCTCACTCGTCCTGCGTTTCCTGTCTCTCTAAACTGACATATTTTAATTCATCTAGTTTTTAAGATGATGTAATTTGACGAAAAGCTCCAGAACATTTTGCAGATTTGTACTACTCCACTTTGTTTGTGGTCAGGTATAAATCACGCAAGTTTTATCGTCCTCTAAATTGAAATTTTTTAATGATTATTGAGTTCAAAACTGATATCACTGCAAAAAGTAGGAAGGATTGTGTAACCAGACAACATAAAGCTCATGGGTTTAAGGGGTCATGTCAGTAGAAGTGAAGTAGTCATTATGTTTTTTTAGCAGAAAGATATGTCATGGGTTGAAAAAAAATGTAGATTCAATTACACACGGGCACTAAATGCATGTGACTTGAACGTCGTCATCGGCATAGAAATTGCTCTATTGCATCATGTTTCATACAAAAACTGCAGAGAAATTACAATAAAGGTGAAGAATGACACAAATTTAAAAAGTTTAATCAGAATGTCCTTAAGGAGAACCACTTCATTACTATATCATGGGAATGATACACAATGATCTTCAGAAACCAGAAGTAAAAACAACAATAAAATAAAAACACACACACACAAAATGTCTCTTCTGGATGAGAGCACAGTTTGTTTGCCGGTTTTTATTGGGACTCGGGAGCAGTGCTGGCTTCTTCAATCTAGTTTCCGGGCAACATTGAACCTGATGATGAAGCAGAGAAAAACAGATGAGGCACGCGGGGCAAAGTACAAGAAGGGATTTGCTTAGAGTCAAGGTCTGTTTGTCTTAACAAATAGTATGAAAATGTTTGAGATGAACAAGCAAATCAATGAGCGATGAATGTGCGCACACTACCTGTCTATTAATACTTGTGGCTCTCGGCTCCACCATGACCAAATCCTGGGAGGAAAGAGACAGGAAGGCGTTACATCAGTGAAATAACACTAACATTAGACATTTTTTACTTTTACTTTGAAAATCTGAGAGAGAACTTATTCTTTCACGCAAGATTAGAGTTTAACAAAATGTTGCCAATTATGTAAGGACTGGTTTATTGGGTGTGTGTGTGATCCCATCCGGTGACAGTGTGTGCTTTGATTGGACCGTTTACAGCCTCGACGCTATCAGACACAGAACATCGTCCTCACACAGAGCCGAGAGTCTTACGATCAAAGGTGACTGAGGGGAACATGCTTACCTCCGGGTCCAAACAGTGCACTGTAGCAGGGTTTGTGACAGTATGGCTTGCCTTCATGCTGTAAGAGGCAGAGTTGTGAATGTGTGCAAACACTGGGAATGTAGATATGACCTAAGCATTAATATAATATATAAAAAGAAGTCTATATTAGTCTTTTGGAGGCAATCATGCTTCTTATCTGTTCACATTATTCTGTCCTCTCCAATATGCAACCTTTTTGAGTATGATTAAAGTATGACCAACAGTTGTTTATTATTTGTAAAAAAACTACAAAAAACATGGTAAAACAAAAAATAAGATTTCCTAATGTAGGTCTGTGTTAATTGGCCATTTTTCTCTTGTTATATGCTAAATATATGTCCAGTTAAAAAGTGCTTCAGATCAAACCCTTTCTTCACTCAGGGCTGTATACATACATTTATCCAATTAAATATGATTTTGGGCAACTAGCTAACTCCGTCCATCAAACTGACTCGATGGTATCAGAGCGATACATGAGATTCTGTCAAATGTTTCTAAAATGCTAAAATATCTAAATCTCTTTGTGCTTGTTTTCCCCCCATCATTAGCCAAGTAACACATATATAAACTCTCAGTAAACCTACAGTTCTATTACATTTGAATGTCAATATTTCAGGTTTACTTCTTGAATATTAGCATATTTATAACTTTTGTTGATTAAAAAAAGTTGATAACAGAGCGGAGATTTAATCATGGATTCAGATTTGCAAAGCAAAGCCTGTGCACATTATTAAAGATTGCAGGATATTCTTGTATGTACCTCTGCATGTGAGCCGGCCGCCAGTGTCTTTTTGCACTTCTCACACTTCAGACAGGGCCTGTGCCAGTCCTTGCCCAGTGACGTCACCCTCTCGGCTGCCAAACACACATAAACCACAAAATGAATCCCTACCGCCTTAAATGTGCACCACATAGAGAGCTACTTTAGTCTGAAGAGGAGATGGAAGCGTCACGGGGTCACAATATCAGTTGTAGATCATGTTGTTGCAGATAGCTTGGAGAACATTGTTTGGGTGGGGTGCTGGAGGGGGAAAGAGGTCGGAGTGTCCCTGAGGAATCTGTCCTGCCTCATAAACTCCAATAAAGACCGTCTTTATCAGCAGGGCTGATCTGCACCAACACCCATCAGGAGCACTGTAAAAGTGGGGAGGAGCCCAACCTCTCCAGGTCTTTAGTGGGCCAGCTGGACAAGATGGAGTTAACTTTTGAGATTTGTCAAAAGATTAAGAGCAAGAATCTGGCCAAGAATCTATATGCAAAGATGAAAAAAAGGCTACAAGTGACTGCACAGGAAATGCTGAAGCGGAGGATGCGTTATCCTAAACTGAGGCTGTTTCTACCAAACACGTCGTAACTCGTGAGCAGCACAGAACTTGATTGACATCTGCAGATTTTCTGAAAAAAACAAACCCATAAAAGATATTTAAAAAAGGACTGCAGATGTACGAACGAATAACGCAGGTGAATCCCAGTGATCTCCAAACCTTCCCACAAGATCAGGATGTGACATACTTCCTCCCTAAAAATAACACGATGTCACATGAGATTACGTAACGTGCAGCGGAAACAGGGAAAGTGCCCCAGGGCGAGGTCAGCCTCTCAGGCCAGTTGCATGAAAACATTTCAACAAAATGTGGTGGAGCTGGTTTGACCCGAAATGATTACTGTATTTAGATTAAAATAACAAATTAGTGGACTGAGCAAACAGTAAGTTCTTGCTGTACAAGCAGTAAATAGAGTCTGGAGTCGAGCCTGATCAGTTGCATTGACGCCCATGTAATGTTGTTTGATGTGGATCTGATAAAGCACATTTTTATTTGTGCACAGGTTATTTATTTTACCTGACGATATGAGAGTAAATGGGGCGTGAGAGAAATAGTCAGATCTGTTCTCTGCATCAACCCGCCCTGCCTGGAACTTTACGGAGGCAATCCAGTACACACAACCAGACACAACTCCTCATTCCATCCCAAAAAAGATTCGTAGAATGGTTGTACAACAGTTTGTCAAGCTAAAAAATAGAGGCTCAAGAGGTCAAGCTAAAAAAAAAAAAAAAAGAGGCTGAGAATGCGGTTTGAAGCATTTGGAGTTGACAGATGACCTTAAATACAATAAAAAAATCTGTAATACTATCTTTAATAGTCAGGCTTTTTCTGGACAAGAGTTGGATGAGGAGATTGATACCACTCTCATGCTTAATATGAAGCTACCGCCAGCAGCCAATTAGCTTAGCAAAAAGACTGGAAACAGAGGGAAACAGCTAGCCTGGCTCTATCCAAAGGCAATAAAGATCTGCCTACCAGCACCTCTAAAGCTCACTAAGTAAGATAAATGTATGTTTTTTTGTATGAATTAAAAAGACACTTCTTTTACTGATAACTTCCTGCACAATGTCTGCACAAATAACACACAACACGTTAGCTTCTTTGCATGAGTGCTTGCATGTTCTTTGTGTATCTGGACCAAGTTCCCCCCTCATCATTTAGTGAGGTAGCGGTAGCCTGATTGTTTCCATCTGAGAGCTTAGAAACATTAAGACAGATGAGACGCAAAAGAGACAGAGAGAGGGAGAGAGAGAGAGAGAGAGAGAGAGAGAGGGGAGAGGATGGGTGAGTGGAGCAGTGAGGTGCGATGTAGGGGGTGACAGGGGTGAGACGTGGAACCTATAGAGGGGGTTTGGGGGAGAAACTGATGCAGACAGTTCAGGATAATGATGTGACTCTGCTTCCATATAAAGAATGCAAAGCTTTGTTCCAGGCTACATTTCCTGTCAGCGATACATATATTAGAAAAGTTCATATTTTCTTTGGTCGGCTTGTTCTGGACGAAACAAATTGGTTTGCTTGTTTTGGCCAGATGGGGAAGGTCTATCCGTGACAAGGAAGAATGGGAAGCATGGCTCCCCAGTCGCACGGTCAATTCATCTGACTGACAGTCCAAAGACTTGGCTTTGTATTCTGCTTTGGCCCTCAGCCTCTGTGCGTCTCCCCGGAGAAGATTTACTCCATTGCACTACTGAGCTGCAGACAATGTGGTAAATGGATTAAGTCACAAATAAAATGGAGCTGTCCCTGTCCTCTCCGGATGCAGTAATAGCTCCATGCTTTGATGGTATACTCGTGAGACAGACCTACAGGGACGGAGCCGCGGCTTCCTCCGCTGCATCGGGTCATTATTCATCCAGCTCATCAGACATCAGGAAAGACAATTCAATTTCAGGGAGCACAGATCTTATCTATCCAAAGTAACTTGATAACAAGAAAGCTTATAGAGTGCAGTGGCCTTTTGAGGCTAATGTGCAGAAATTGACAGGTATAAATAAATATAACGGTGGAGTGACAGAGATTGAGCCAGTAAATATTGTACATTTAGCTCTATGGTTACTCTTCAGATTAATATTTTACATCCAAAGCATCAGTGGTGGAAGAAGCATTGAGATCATTAAGTAATAGAAGCAGTACTGCAATCCAAAATACACTCCATTGCACTGCATTCTAATTACTTTTGCAAAAGTGCACAAGTATTATCAGGAAAAAGTCATTTAAGTCTCAAAAGTACGAGTACTCACTACGCACAATGGCCCTTGTATTCTCAGTGGTCTAAAGTAGCCAAGTACATCTACTCAAGTACTGTAATTCAGCACAATGTTGAGGTATTTTACTTATATAGCCTATTAATATATATTTAGGTAAATAAATATTAATATTTCAACTTATACTAGACAGAATTCCACAGGGACATATTGTACTCGTTACTGAAATACATATATTTCACAAATATAGTTACTGATTTCTTTGTAAATTGTAATTTTACATACAAAAGATTAATATATGTGTGTGTGACATTATGATGCGTTTTATATTAAACGAGCAGTTAAAATCAGCTCCACTTTTACCAACTACATCAAATACTGTTGTTGCGTCATTAATATTGATGCAATAATATGACAATGACAGGAGCCATTCTGCATGCGTACTTTGGATACTTTAATGCTATTGATAATACTTCTGCACTTGCACTTCAGTAATTCAATTCAATACATCATGTATTATTTATTTTCGATTTAAGTCCTTCACGTGATATTGAATGTTGTAAATCTGATGTTTCCTGATTTGTGCAGAAAAACCGCCAACATTTCATCAACCAGGAAACACGACACCCTGCACGCAGAAACGGAAACAAGAGAACATATCTTACCGAAGTAAACCTCCTTCAGGCACTTTGGGCACTTTGGCATTTCGCAGCTGTATGTGTTAGTTTACCGGAGAGAAAACGCGGTAGGTATCCTGTGGATGAAGCGTGACTGCAGCTGTAGAGACGGGCCCACCTGTTGGCTCTGACTGACCACTCCTTGCGCTGAGGTGCAGATGTGCGCTGCGTCCCGTATTTATAGCACCGAGGAAATAGTAACGGAAACGTTTTTTTTTGTTTTTTTCTAACAGTGGGAGCGGCTTGCGTAGAGTCTGTGCGAGCAGAACACATCACATTGGGGCACTGGAGTTTAAGAATTAAACTAAACTCTTCCCCATTTTTAGAGGTTTTTTAAGTGACTCTATTATGAGGAATGCAATTTTCCTCTATTTAAAGTAATCAATATTGTCTTATCAAAGTGATCATTCTGATCTCATCATTACAATTCTTTTCTTATTACAGTCACAGGCGGCTGGGTACAAGATAGTGGAGCAGGATGAGGTAACCAGTAGAAGTACATTGTTTCCAATGAGTGATGGAAAGTACATTCACTCAAGTCGGTTACAATTTACAACTTGTACTTTACTTGAGTATTTCCCTTTTCTGCTACTTCATATTTCTACTCCACTACGGCAACTTTGTACTCCACTACATTTATTTGATAACTTTAGTTACATTGCAGATTCAGATTTATTGCCACATAAAGTATAATCAACAAATAGATATTTCAGATTAAGATAACTTAAAAACTAGCTTCACCTTTACCTGCATCATTTAAGTGATGTACACAATTTAGATATTTATAATCCAGTAATATACGTTATTCTGAAATGGATCATTCTGCATAATCAAAGCAAAGTAATTTCAGTTGTCTTATAACATGTCGGGGGGGGGGGGGTATTGTACAAAAAAATAAAAAATACAATAATGTTTGATATATATAAGTCATGTTTTATCAGTGTGACTGAAGCTCAGAGTGCCAACAGCCGGACCTATAAGTCCTCAGTTAATTACTGGGATGCATTTCACACGCTCATAATCTACTAATTAATCATCACGTTGCCTGATGCCTCTGTGGAATAAACACTGAATTATTAATACTCTCTAAGCATTTCCTTTGTTCTCTCAAGTCGGGCCCATTTCCTTTTTGCCAACTTTATTTCACAACAGAGTTCAACAGAGAGAACTGCTGCAGAGCTATGTGAACATGTATATGTTGTAGGTACTGTCATGATCACGAGTGTAATGTATGTCACATTATCCTAGATGGTTAATCCTGAGGGGGTTGGCCTTGAATCTAATAAATGACCATCTGAATCACCCAATGCAGATTATAGAACATATAACAATATACCCAGGGATTAAAACATTAAACTACATCCCACAAGTAAACTGTCACCAAAGTCAAGTTGCTTTGTCAAGACCTGATCCTTAATTATTTACTTTCTGAGTGTGTAGCCTGACGTGAGTAAATGGACCTCCCCGCTGACCCCGTTCACTGCTGAATGGCAAGATAACCCACTTGATGAATAACCAAACACAAGGTGACAGTGACTGACGACAAACACACTGCGCGTGAGTCTTCTCTTTCTGTGGTTGTAACTTGTTACGTGCCGTGTTGTGTTTGTTTGTGCTTTCCCTCTGTGTACCCTCAGTGTCCTCTCGGGTGCCACCCTCTGTCCCGGATGCCAGCTGCAGCGGCTGATTGGACGTGGCTGCGTTCAATCGCGATTAGCGGTGGATAAGAGGAGAGGAGCTCCAGAAGTACAACATCTTGGGCAGACCACAGTAGTGAGGCTGTGTGTGTGAGTCGGTGTGAAGCTGAGAACCTTGGGCCGAACCTGCAGCTGAGACGCTGAGAGGAGTGTGCTGTAGATCACTCCGGGTACAGCCGTGTGGGCTGGTGTCACCATTGTACTTATCACTTTGTGGCGCCCTCTGACGGTAGTTTTCGTTTGCTGCCCTGCGAGCCGCTAGCTATTTATCCAATAAACCATTCTTCGTTAAAGTCTCTTCAAAACTCACTCTCCCTTTCCCCGGGAAAATTAATAGTTACTCCCCGCATCCCTTAGATGCCAAAACGGGGAACGTAACATAACTCTATATCTATATTTATAGTACTTTGGAACAAAAGACGTGATACACCTGCCATTCCCAACCAGCTTGCACTCCAGAGGGTGGTTGAACTTCTGCATTTTCCAGGGGTTACGTGGAAAGATAGCGGAGTATTTCATGTATTTTTTAAATAATTACGATTTTAAGATTGTAATAGAAATCCACAAATTGCATTACAAATTATTATTGATCATTTTTTCGTCTTGTTCTCGTGAGGATAAACAGAGAAGCTGGTTGTTCATTTATAATCGAGGATCAGTTGCATGCACACAGGCTCCAAATGAAATTGTACTATTATAATTTAGTTTGGACATTCGGGCTCATGTTGCTGATGTTGATCCACTAGTGTACACGCTGGTATTTAATGCAATTGATTTTGTAGCTTGTGGGACATTTAACAGTAGTGTCATACACACATATTATCATGTAACACCCCCCTCTCCTCTGATTAGTAGCCACACAGCTGCTAGCCTGTTGTATTTTGGTGTAGTCTTGGGACTGCACCCCGGTGGTGATGATGACGTCAGACGCCTCTCTGGCCCGGACTCTGGCTTTGACATTGAGCTCACGCTTTGAGTACTGGGTGTAATCATTACAACACAAGCCAATCACCCACACCCAACCCCAGGGCGACCTTTGACATTTTCGTGAGGGTTTGAAAAGATAACTTTATTATCTGTATCACTACTGTGTGCACGTGGGGTCGTAAAGCTGTTATGCTCACTTTTTTATGTAGCGTCTACGCCTGCTGTAGATACGGGCACACCTGCAGAGTGAAGCCTGTTTCTGTCTGTTTTCACGGTTGAGTGACTTCTCAAAGATAACAAACCCTTCTGAGGAGCTCTTTAATGAAATTGTCATGGCAACCAAACAAAAAAAGGCTGATCCTGTGAGGCCGTTGGTGCTTTCGGAGGCATTCTCATGTTGACTGATTGAGCTGATCGAGATGACATTTTCATAGCAAGGTGCATTTCCATTTTCCAAGTTAATAAGTCACAATGAACACACACAGATTAATATCTTTGTAGTGAAAGCTTTCTAAACATCTTGTCTCAGGCAGGACACTGGACGGATTTACTTTTCTCCACAGTGTCTTATTTGGTAGAAGACCAAATAAGCAGTGGCCAACATGTCCAAAGAAAGAAAGAGAAAACCACTCAAAATTGCTTTTGGCCACAATAGCAGCATGATTTGAGTAATGGCGTTGTCAGTGAGTTGGTTTTGGGCTGGAACTCTGTGGGAAAGTACAACACGATCGCATGAAATAATAACGATTCAGCCTAGTGATGTACCTACAGTGACAGATTTACCTGCAGGTTTTGCTGCGTGGGGAGAATCTCCAAAGTCCAAAGAGGACCGCCTTGTAATTTTCCTGATGGGATGGTTTCCAATAAATTCGGGATGCCAGGCAGAAGCTCTGCCCTCTGCAGATCAGAGAGCTAATCTCTCCCAGCCAACCAGGTGGCCGAGGGTCTCGCCTCAGTGGCCCGCACCGTGCCACCGGGTCGGCTTTGGCTCTGGTCCAGCCGGCGAGGTTGTGATGTGTCTCCGTTACTGCCTTGTAACTATATATCGCAGTGATCAGGCCTCCTCCCTTAAATTAGACGAGATGGAGATGGAGGTAGGTTTCATGTTCCACATCGCTGATCAAGTACAGGGGATACGCGCAGAGAATAAGACGTTAATGTGCACGGTCTGCAGGAGAGACGTGAGGTCTAGCAGATTATTCAAAATGCTGCACAGGCAAACCAGTGATAACACGGAGGTCATTAATTGACATAGAATCTAAAATCTTTTAGATTCCGCAACCTTTCAGACTCAAGATGGTTACATTTGACAAATGTTGGGCAATAGATGAATAATTATAGGATTCAGTCTTTTGTTTTACTGGATTGTAGGCACCATAGAGGGGGTCAAGCAGCTAGCTTTTGAGTAAAACATGTGTTTCATATAGCTTAGTTTGCAGCCTAGAAGGTTTGGTCTATTTTGTTCCCTTTTATTTTGCAGTGCTTTGCGATACATTTCAGCTTCACAGTCACCAGAATGTATCTAAAGAGCACATTGACATGTTTTTAAAGCAGTCAATATAAAAAGGTTAAACTATTTCATGACTGAAAACAGAGGGCTGGTATCTGGCAGCCAATAATGGGACTGAAGAATGATGTCATGCTTTCCTCTAAAAAAGGATGGTCACACTACTTTTGTTTGTGCGCTCCATTTACATCATTCAAACTCGTGCAGATTGTGCAAGTGACCTTTCACCTGTGAGTTCTGTTGCTCAAACACAGAGGAGCTACTGTAAGAGCAGCTACCGTGAGCTCCGAAGTACGTTTCCCCTTTGGAGCCGTACCTTCTGTAGCATGACATCATAGCCTGTTATATCCATATTTGTAAGGAAAAAAATCTTCTCGCTGTGAATGTACATTTCACTTGACGTTTGAATTGCACGAGCATCAATTTAGGAAATTATAGGAAAATTAGAGAAGACCCTCGATTTGAAGATTAATGGAGGAGAGTCTGAAATGACTTGCAGAGCAGCAAAATGAGCCCAATACATTTCTTGCCACGGATAAATAACCTCCACTCTGTATGTTTTAATTGTACAAATAGTTCTGCTGAGTTTATGTGAGCAGCACTGTAATTATACACAGTGATGGATCAGCGTCTATGCAAAGCACAAGACAAGCAAACACGTTCAGGGAGTGAAGTAAAACAAGCCGTGACGGAGAATCGGCCATTCAGTGAAACACATGCTGTCAGAGCGGCTGAGTCATCAGTTTCACAGACCTGGAAACCCCCCAAAAACGTATACACACACATACATTTATTGTATCTGTATTCAGTTTCACATACTGCACATGCATGCATGCTGCATGGACACAGTATATTCACATGCTACTACGATCTGCAGCATTTGGGGCTTTGGGGCATTTTAGCATCTTTCAGCTCATAGTTTTTCTTCTCTCGCTTCTTAAGTCCCACCTTCTTTTCTGCCCTCATTCCAGAATGTTCTTATCTTTTTCGCCGCTGTATATTTATTTTATTGACTGGAAAGCATCACTGAAACCGGAGACA